AGGAATAGATACTTCCATCCTTCAGACACAAACCACGAGAAGCAGTGACTGCCAATTTCTCTGCTCTCACTTTCTCTGCATGACGTACTTGGGGCCCATTTCCAGAACCTAGGGAGTGTGTGGGAGGGTGAGGAGTGGGAATACTAGGTAAAAAAAAATTCCCTTTCCTATCTTGGCTCAGAAATCTCCAGTGGTTATCCAACACACTCAAAACCAAATCCAAATTTATTTTCCTAGCCTATGAAATCCCACACAGTTGGCAAGCTCCATCCCAGCAGTCAGTGAGTCTTGTTTTCTAACATTCTGTCTCTTGCTCGGTGCACTCCAGGGCTACTGGATTCTTTTACTTCCTTTCCAACAAGTCAAGCACAAGGATAACTCAAACCTGGATCATGCATCGACTATCTCACTCTGTTTCATCCTTATTTTGTATTTCTGCATGGAAGAGCCAGGCCTCCTCAGACCATGACTTGAGGTATTAGTTATTCATATGCTGTTTACCGTTCATCTCCCTCCAGCAAAATGTAAGTTTAATGATCAAAGGGACATCACCTGTCTCTTTCAATGATAGAGATGGAATGATGCCTGCTTTCGCACTAGGTGTTTAGTAAGCATTCATTATCGTTTGGACTTTGAAAAACTCCCCAGCCTCTGTTTATTTGGATTGGTTAGGATGATGGACTGGTGGTGTCCTCAGAACTTTTCAGAACCTTGATGTTGCCTTTGAAGTAACTCTCAAACAGATAGACTCATCACGCTGCAGACACCTCCGGAGCGATAACTGAAATTCCTACATGAATTAAACGTACACTTCCACTGCTATCACACCACTGATGCCCGTTCGTGCCCTTTGACATTCCTGGTTTCCCTCTCTTCATCCCAGGTATCAACTCTAAAGGGGCTGCTTGTTTTTGGCAATAATAACACTGAACAGTTGCCCAGTTTCACTCTCAAACCACCTGGCATGGTGTTGGGAGGACTCCACAACTCTTTTTACATTAAAACATGTGTCTGGTGATTGGTAGCTATGACCTCACTGATTAGCATGAACCCATTGCTGGCCTGCTTGTCTACATGCTGAGTGGTTTCCACTGTCCCCTTCCTTTTCCTGTGTTGGTTCTTCCCAGAATTCCCTCTGCTATCTTAACCATCTATTCATGTTCACATCTGTGTCTCCCATGATATCTTCTTTGAGTGACCTTGGTTTTAAAAATGAAACCATCTGTCAGGCCATAGTGGTGCATACCTTTAATTCCAGCACTCTGGAGGCAGAAGCAGGTGAATCTCTGTGAGTTCAAGACCAGCTGGATCTACAGAGTACCAGGAGAGCCAGGGCTATACAGAGAAACCATGTCTTGAAAAATTAAAGTGAAAGCATTTGACTTTATTTCACATTAACATGGTGTGTCCGAATATGTTTTCTTTGCCTTTTTCTTCTTTTACTCGGTGCAGTTTTCAGTAAACGTCTCAATAGGATAGTTAAATCTTTGATATGTTGAATATTTAAAATCAATCAAGATACTCAAAAAAGTTCTCAAAATTCAAAAGTTAACATGTCATCAAAATGCATGTGGTTAGGCCGGGCGGTGGTGGTGCATGCCTTTAATTCCAGCCCTCAGGAGGCAGAGGCAGGCAGATCTCTGTGAGTTTGAGGCCGGGCCGGTCTGACAGCCCCCAAAACAATACAGAGAAACCCTGTCTCATAAAAACCAAAAAAATGCATATGTTTAGTTTTATATTTGAAGTATTCTCATCATTTTCTGATAACATAGTGTAGAATATTATTGAGGAGTATGAATGCTGCATGAATGAGTAACAAAACAATACATTTTTTTGAAAGACTTGTCTTAGAAGAATCAGAAATCCAAACCTGTTTAACCTGCAGCAGTTTAGTCTGTCTTGGAAGCATATAGTTTTTCTCCTTGTGACTCAAATAAGCTGTCTTGACAAATAGGGATAAAACATTAAAATACAGGAACAAAGCATCACTGTGAAACCTCACTCATACAGCATCCTGACTTATAGTGTTTCAGCCTCTACCTGTGTAAAGGGAAAATATTGTATCCCCACTGCCTTATAGCGTCCATGTTTATCAGAAGTGATGGCTTTTATAAGGACGGATGTATCATCATGCAGTATAGCAGATATAGAATTATAATTACCAAATGACAGAATTCAAAAGAAATGTCTGACTGGAATGTCTGACCCCCTGTGATTTGTGTTGTTGTATATGTGTGCCCATGGTGGCTTTTATCACAGACTATTAAAGATACTGTGAATGTCATTCCCTGGCCTGTCAGAACCTTGACTGTCACTTAAAGTAGTGTTTCAGGCTTAGGAGATAGCTCAGCTGGTGAAGTACTTATTGCATAAGCATGAGGGCATGAGTTATATTATCAATACAGACATAAAGAGCCAAGGAGGGTAGCCATGGGGCTTACTGGCCAGCCAGCCTAGCCTAGTCAGTGAGCCTCAGGTGCAGCGGCATACCGTATCTTGAAATGAAGGCAAGCAGCTCCTGAGGAAATGACACCTGAAGTTGACCTCTGGTCTCTACGTATGCATGTACACATGTGCATGTACACACACACACACCCACACACAGAGGGCATTGTGATTGCTCTTCTCCATTTCTGCAGGGAATATGGATGCGGCATCTGAAGATGGTAGAGTTAATTTCAAAGTTGGATCTCTGGGGAAACAGCAATGGCTGTATTAGCCTATGAATCCCTCGAATGGGCATGTTAGTGTCCTCTCTGCAGCCTCATTGCAGGATACTGTGTGTATGCTGTCTAGAAAATGAAATGATAATTTCATCATTCTATTAAAACATCAAGGTTTATCTTGACTGCTGCCTGTTCAGATAAATGTTTGTGCTTAATTGGATTTCTGAAAGTGATGTCACTGAGAATGCTGATCAGATCCAAAATTAAAAATAATTTTAAGTATTCGTACACAGTGACAGAAAAACAATGCTCCAATGTAAGTTGCTGTGAAACTTTGATGGGTGCCACTTAATGTTGGGCCAGTGAAGTCATTTAGTGGGTAAAGATAGATGCTACTAAGCCTCATGACCTAAGTTTGATGAACCAGGATCCCCACAAGCTCCACACATATGCTATGATACACATGCTCCCAACACAAACACAATCAAAGAAAAATAATGGCTTGAGACTTGGGCCCAGGTTCATGCCTTGCTTTGATTCATGTACTACTAGAACATTCTCTGTGTAATAAAGCACCCTACAGACTCAAGAATAGCAAAATGGGAATTAGTGTTCATGTCAGAATTCCACTCAGTTTTCAAAAACACTGATGATAAATAGACTAGTCATTTTTATGTTTCTGAGAGAAGGCATAGTGGGCCATGCTATCCTTCAAAAATATGTGAACTTTCTAGAGCATAGTTTCAAACTTTTAACCACGTTCTGCTTATTGAGAACTCATAGAGACATCGTATGCATAGACTCCAGGCAGATTCTATAGTGTTAATCTGATCATTAATCTTTTCCTGTTCTTTTATGTTTTGAGACAGCATAGACTGGCCTCAAACTCTTGGCTATCTCCCCCACCATGACTTCCTAGGTGCTGGGATTTCAGATGTGAGCTACCAGGACACTCTGCTTTCATTTCTTCTCTCTTGGGCAGTTTTACTTTTCTGATTTCATTTACCACAAATGTAATATTAACCTATCACTAAGAAGGCAGGAAATTTTGATCATCTGTAGTACACTCATCATATACCAGCCCCCAAAAGCATATCTGTGTCTGAAATGAATGGTTCCTCAACTTTTAAAAAGCCAAATGTTCTCTGCACTGGTATTAATCACGGAAATGTCTAAGTCCTGGACCTCTGGCCACAAACCATGTATGAGCTAAAGACTTACCGAAGAGACGAATCTACTTATCAGTGATTCAAATGTGAGGAAATGTCAGAGACTGGAAGAAGTTAGCGATACTGAAGATTTTCTCAATTTGGGAATTGATTTTGGCTGTTGGTTTAGGAACCAACCATAGAGATTTACACAGTCAGATCCAGACAGAGAGATGATGCCATTGTCTCAGAGCTCCCAGATTCTGTGCTGTGCTCTGAGATTCTCACAGGCTTTCCTGGAACAGCGCTGGCATTCTTGAAGACATCATATAGCAAAGAAGGGAGACATCGACAGCTGTGTCTAAGAAGCTAACACTGCCCACAGGTTTCACAGTCGTCTTCCAGGTACCAGCCGGATGACTTGTCCTCTCCCTTTGGTTTTGTAAAGGACATGATGTATAGAGAGGAGGTTACATCTGCCTTACTCCAGTTTTTGCGGTTTGCTAAGAATTCCTCCTTGTGTTTCTCTTCAGCAAACCCGATAGCCTGTGGGTTCTCTTGACTCCTCACAGGGATGATTTCTTCTTGCCCCTGAAACTTCAAGTGAGAGACCTCTAGACACCTGTCATGTATTGTTCTCCCCAAACGAAAACAGTTTGGATTGAGTCTTAAAACAAGCTGAATGGTAGTCATGGACATGATCGTACATGTATGTTAACATATGCACCAGCATTTATTAAATGTGTTAGTCCATGGACATGGGTGTACATGTATATTAGCATATGCACCAGCATATATTAAGTATGTTAGTTCATGGACATGAGCGTATATGTATATTAGCATATTCACCAATATACATTAAGTGTGTTAGACCATGGATATGACTGTACGTGTATATTAGCATATGCACTAGCATATATCAAGTGAGCAGAGAATAGTGTCTAAATAAGACCCTTCTGACCAATCTGGAAGATTGAGTGAATAAGGCTGATAGCAGTTGTGTTCATTGTTGTCTTTTCAATGGTATTGATTCTAGCCTGGAGTGGAGTGGTCCCACATATGTGTCATTATGAAGCAGATTTCTCCCTTCACACACACACACACACACACACACACACACAATACACACGTACATATGTATATCTATGTGTATTTACATGCATATGTATACTTTCACCTGCTGCAGATCTGCTCAAACAGATTGGGTGACACCAGAAAATCCGAATGGTACCATCCTCGGATATGACCTTTTTATGGAAAACATGGCATCCATGCCCTGACACCCGCAAGTTAACAGAGAAACACAGTGACGAGCTATGCAAGGCAGTCAAGAGTCAGCACCCTGAAAATGCCTGTGGGCAGGCTTGCTGCTCTCCAGAAACTCAGGTAGATCTTTTCCCATGTGCCGCTGGAAGCCCTCCCACACCACACTCTACTGTGATAAATGCTTTTCATCTTATTCTAAGAAGACCACACAGAGAAGAAAGTATTCCTGTCAGAATCCCCCTGACCTCATGACCACTTCAGCCTTCACATTTTCCATCCCCTTTTCAGAAAACATGGTTTTATTAGGATGGTGAGGGCCCCCCAATTTAGTATCAGCTTGAGGGACTCGAAGTTTTCATTGTACAAATCCATTCAGCTACAAAGGGCTGGGTTTTTTTCCCCACAACACTGATACATTGCCATGAATAGGACTGCTCTTGGTGTGTCAGAAATATTTTAGAATTATGGTCATTTGTAGATTAATGCTCATATCAGTTGCTGTTTAGGAATCAGATCAATAATACAGCCAGACAGAGGGTTTTGTTAAATGGCTTCTATTGACAAACAACATAGAAAACGACTTGTTTTGAAGGTAAGATCTCATCTAATGAAATAATGTCCTATTTATCACAGCGTTGCACACTTGATGACTAAGGCTACTCCTAAATCCATAAGATTCACTAGAAAGGAACTCCAGAATTAATAAAGTGAGTTTCTGAGGCAATATGGATCGAAATAAGAGTTATTATGGCTGCCACTTACTTAGTGGTACTTACTATGTAAGGCATACTTAGAGCCAGTCACTTGGCAACCTTACACTTTTTATATCTCTAAACTTATTATGCTTTAATTCAAGTGTGTGTGTGTGTGTGTGTGTGTGAGTGTGGGTGGTATACACATACATGAGTGTGCATAAGTATATAAAAAGCTCATGATGGGAACTCTTTTAGTATAAAGTACTTGCAGGTTAAAATGCAGAACTTTTAGAAAAACAAACATATATTGTCTAGTATTTTTTGTATAGGAGTTGATATTGAGTTCCTTTGATGAAAAGTTTAGAAATTGTTTAAAAAAGCAAGTGTTCTCACAGACCTCTTAGGCATGGTACATAACTTTGCATACTTTTTATGCAGAATATGGCTTTGGAAGGAAGAGACATCCAATTTAAGCTTGTAGTGAGACTGGTCTTAAATACTCATGGCTAGCAACTAAATCCAACAAAATAAATGTTACTGATTGCTTAGGAAAGGTGCCCAAGTGGCTGGGTCAGAGTCCATTTCTTTGCTCTCAGGTAACTCTGTAGATGAGAGGCTGAGTGGGTGGGACTATGGAAGACTTATGCCATGTTTCAGTCACTACTCTGAGCTTGCTCCCACATGGAGGCATCACCAAAACAGCAATGGGAAGATCTCAGTAAACAGTGTTGATTTTTCTCCCACAAGAAATGTCTAAGTGAAGTGACTCCTACCAAGTCCAAGTGCTACTTTCCAGCCACCACTCAGGGTTTGATTTTTTTTATAGAGCATAAAGACACAGATAATTATTTGATTATTCAAGCATATAATTTTTTTCTGCAGCTAGCTCCTGGCAAAAACACAGTAAAAAGGACTTTTCAAAATTAATTTCCATATAAATTTGTTTTTGTGTTGTAGTAGTCTATGGTATATGTCTGCTGTGATGTATGTTTGCATGGATGTGTATATATGTATATATACATATGTGTGTATGTATACAGAGAGAGGGAAAAAGGAGAAGGAGAGAAAGGGAAAAGAGATTGTCTTATTGGAAAACTGGGGTCCATAAATAAATGATCCTATGCATTATAAGGAAAATTCAATTTATTTAACAAAAAGGATGAGCAAGAAGCAGCTCGCCTTGGTGTGGTGTCTTCAAGTTAATCCATCGTTAGAATAAAGATATATATGTGAAGGAAATGGTTCATTTACTATTTTAAGTGCCTTTATACTGGAAGCATTGGCAGTCTAAAGGTAATTTACATTTTCATTTACATGATGTTATAACACACAGCAAAGCTAGGTTGAAGAAGGGAAGAAAAGCTGCACTGTATCAACTAACATTTATGGAATTTGTACGATTCTGGAGAATACATTTCTACAGCTGTAAGTAGTATGGCCACCTTTCAAGGCCCTTGGAGAAAATAATTATGCTCCATAGGGATGCGGTATTCTTGATTAAATGGATATTTCTATGTTTAAATGTAAAATTGCTTATTTTTAAAATGCTTTTTTAAAAACTGATTCCAAACTTTTAGGTTTGTTGCCATGGACTTCTCTGTGCCCCTCGACCTGGTTACAGCTGTTGTGAGGAGAAATGCATGGCATTCCTTCTGGATTCCACTGGAGTTTGTTGTGGGTGCTGAATCCGGGAGGTGCAGTTAGATCACCAGTGCTGCTCTGGGTGTTACCTTAGAGCCCTCCTAGGTGAGTGTCCTGCCCCTCCGTGTTCGGCAGCTTAGTGAAGCTGAAGATGCAAGCCTGTGACCGTGTCAGGGAGCTACCCTAAGGACCATCCCACCAAAACCCGAGGCACAAGGGCACAGCCAGCGCTGTGCCTGAAATGGTCTGCCTCTGGCTTTGTCGAAAGGCCACTAGAAGCGAAGGAGAGAGGTATCGGAGACTTCTAATGTCTACCGTACACAGAAACACACAGCAGCAGCAACTCCTTACCCCGTGTGACTCTGTTCGGTTCGCACGCTTCCATGCTTCCTCATCCAGTCTGTGAGTCATGAACTGCCCATGACGGTTCATCTTCAGTGTCAGCTTGATTTGACATCAGCTAGGAGACATACCTTCGGCTGCAGCTCCGAGGCTGTTTTCCAAGGAGCTTTAATGAGAAGAGAGAACCGCCGGCTGAGTGTGGGCAGCAGCATCCCTAGGCTGGAGTCCTAGACGGAAGAAAAGAGAAAGCAGAAGCAAGCCAACTGAACACCGAATGCTTCCCCTCTGCTCCACCAGTGCAGATGCAATGCGACCTCTCCCCTGTGCCAGGCCCTCCCCACCGCGAGGGAATGAGTCCTCCACTGTGAGCCGCCAGCGCCTTCCTGACTCAAGCTGTTTCATTACGTCCTTTGGGAGTTCCCACCTCGATGATACAGAAGCAAACCAGGAGGCAGAGGGGTGACCACCACAGGTAAAGGCCTCCTCTGAAAGTGAAAAGGGGTCTCCAAGGAGCGAATGATGCTAATTAAAAGATTCGGGCTGCCTTCCAACAAAGCAAAACACAAGCCTCTGGTCTGGTGGCTCGGGTGGCCTGGGTTTATATAGCTTTCCATTAGGCATAAGCTTGGAACTTATTTGTTTGTTTGTTTGTTTGTGCGTGCGTGCGTGCGTGCGTGTGTGTGTGTGCGCGCACGCGCGCGCGCTCGCATGTCCAGAAGAGGTTACCCTATTACTGCCCTGCCTATCACTGTCTAACCTTGTCTTACTCCACTGAGGCAGGATCTGGCTGGTGACTACAAAGCTGCAGGGTTCCAGACTGGCACAGCCACGCCCAGATTTGGAGTTCTTCATTCTTTCGTGGCAAGCCTTCTTACCCCCTGCGCTGAGCAATCCCCACCCCAGGGTGATGTTCTCCACCCACCTTTCCCCTGTCTCGTGTGGGCCAGCAACCAGCTTGTTTGGGTGACATCGTGGCATGGTCATTTGGTAGCCAGCAGGGTTTGTCCCTGGTATGAGTGGAAGGGGAAGAAGAGAGTATATTCTACATATGGCTGGCAGGGAAAGAAGGGACTTGACTTTGAGTGGCCACCTGGCTGTGGATTAGGGTCCCAAAAATCTGTCTGTCTCTTGTTCCCATTGTGGGTTCCTGTCTACTTCATTAACATGTGTTGACTTTTTTTTAAAGGACTATTCTAGTCCGATAAGCTTCTAATGTCACTAGAGAAGCCACTCTACATATTTTTCCCAGTCACCTGAGTTTAGCACGTTTTAAAGATTTGCTTGTTTATGCATATGTGCCTGTGTTAGACTGTGTTGCCATGGGTCCCAGTTCTGAGAACTGGAGTTGTTACAGGTGGTTGTGAGCCTCCTGAGATGGGTGCTGGGAGCCAAACCCAGACTCTGGAAAAGCAGCAAGTGCTCTTAACTACTGAGCTGTCCCTCCAGCCCCAGAACACTGATGTCTTTCTTAAAGACAAGAAAGCAAATTTGGAAGGGAGAAGAGAGTGATTTTTCAGATGTCCTAAGAGACCCGAGTGTTCTGAGGTGCACAGTGGAACATGAAGTTTGTGCTACCCATGTGATCAACTGAGGTTGGTGTCTAAGTGTTCATTGGATTCCACATAAATATAACACCTAACACCTGGGACTGGAGCGATGATTCAGAGGGTAAGAGCACTGCCTGCTCTTCCAGAGGTCCTGAGTTCAGTTCCCAGCAACCACATGGTGGCTCACAACCATCTGTAATGAGTTCTGGTGCCCTCTTCTGGCCTGGAGCCATACATGCAGGCAGGCAAAACACTGTATACATAATAAATAAATCTTTAAAACTATATATATATACATACATACATACACACATACACACACATATATATATGTGTATATATACATATACACACACACATATATATATATATATATATATATATATCTCACCCAAGTATATGATGTGAGGAATTCTCTGACCCAGTTTCTTTTGCAAAACATGGCATCAAACATGCAAGGCATCATGATTAAGTGTATGGGGATTACTCATAATGGCTAACCTTCATTTTGACCATCTTGTTATTGTCTCTTATTTACCAGCAAGAATGTGTTCATAATTGAATAGATCATAACAATGCTTCCTAGAAGGAAATATATTGCGGAAGTATAAAGATTTTGTAGAAGAGTGTTGACTTGTTTATTAAAAGCTGGTTCACATTTGTAGGCAACTGATCAAATAAAGCACTCTCAAGAGTTCTGTTCTCTCCAAATTCCCACATTTGGGTGTTCTCATCTTCAAGTCTTCTCTTTTCTTCCTGCAAATAACTGCTTTAAAACTCAGAGAAGTGAGATAGGCATTTCCTGGAGTCTGCTCTTAGTTTTCTTCATGCCAGTAGACCCTGGGAGGATCTTCTGAGTCCCACACACCATTAAATAGAATAAAAATAGCATATATGGATATTTAAAAAAAAGAATTTTTCAGTCACTTTGAAATTTTTGAGATTATCATTTGAAACAAGCCAAGCCAGAAAATAATTCTTCCCCTCAAAATTAAAGATAAGTTATTGAGGAATATTAAGCTACACAAGGTACATAGGGAAGGGATGTCATAATATTTTATTAGGGAGAAGTCACTTACATGAGAAGCCAAGAAACTAAGGTCAACACGCTCCACTACTCTCTGAGACCCAACCAGAACCCCAAGAGAGACAGTGTTTCCTTTCCCCCCAGTTCTTTATCTCCTGTCCCTACTCCCTAACTGTGACCATGGCCAAACAGGTGTGGTCAGCAGTACAGGTGCCTAAGATCTCTCCCTACAATTCCCCTTTTAGTCTAAAGATTCAAACTTAAAAAAACTAAATAGTGTCAATATAAAAAATGTCTCAAACATATATAAAGCATATATACATAGAAGATGATAAGAATATTTATGCATCAAGCATCATTGATGGGGAAGTCCTGTGTATATGTAAATAAAGCTCTGTTGGCCAATAGGGAAGCAAGCTATGTGGGACTAGGAGTCGAGGAGAATTCTGGGAAGGAGAAACACAGGGAGTCACGATGTAGCCGACATAGGGGTAAGAAGTCCGGACCCTTTCTCCGATAAGAGAAATACTTAGATTAACAATTATGGAGTAAATACTTAAATCAGAGATAGCCAGTAAGAAACTAAGCAAACTGCAACAGCTTCATAATTAATATAGCCTCCTGTGTGTTTATTTGGGACTGATGCAGCTCTGGAGCCAGACTGGCGGGAAAGCTTTACCCAACACATCATGAATAAAAATGAGACTTTATGCAGTATGATGAATTACAATAAACAAATTATAAATAACCAGAATATATAATAATCTACCTATATCCAATCCTAAGTATATCTATCCCATCTAAATCTAAACTAATTTGAAAGAGATGCCCAAGTCTGAACAACTCCTTCCAATCTCAACACTAAACAATTGAAAGGTAACTCTAACAGGTATAAATTATCCTGTAATAACAACAGAAGGGAAAGGAGGTATAGTATTCTCAGAATTACTTCCTGCTGAAGTGGGTAGATGATAACCTCATGGGATCCTGTAGGAAGAAAACGTTAATGTAGTGAAAGTCTGGAGTGGACTAGCTACATTTGCACCCAGTCTTTGGCGGGAGATGCTTGATTGAAGTTCTTATCTTGATTGAAGTTCTTGTCTGAGGCTCTGGCCAGAGTGTAATAAGAGGGTGTACCCAATCAGCTAATTAGTCTGGAGTTGTCTAGAGCAATGTAGTCCCAAACCAGTTTCAGGGTGGTACTTGTCAGTTCAGATGCATCAAGATGGATCAGGTGGAATCGATAAAGTGGGGCCCCATTTTCTTCCCAGAGTATTTGAAGACTGCTGTTAGGAAATTCTTTGTTCTCTGTGGAAAACTCAAATGTTAATGTCAACAAAGAAATTTCAACCTTTATATGTATGCATACCGGGAAAGGCAACAATAAGGAGGATAGTATCTATGAGGGAAATTAGACTTTCAGAGAAAGAACTGAGTATAGACATATGACAGTCCCTAGATTTTTGTTTTCTTCTGTCTTACATCAATTGGTTTCTTGATGTAATACAGAAACTCTGAATTTATTTTAACATGTTTGGATTTAGAGGAGAAGAACCATATCCAGCTCCAAAGCCAGTGTTGGTTTAAATGAATTGGGACCAAAAGAGTAAAGACAAGTAGATTTTATAAGTTAAGAGAATTAGACATTGATACCAAATATCAGATTCTTCTCTGTTTGATGGTTCTTTTGGCTAGCCATCCTCTCTTCTTTATGTATTTACACATTAAGTGTCTTCCTGCCTTTTGGAGATGGATTTTCCTGTTAGGACAAGAACAAAACACTTCCCTTTCCTTTGTGAGGTCTCTATATACCTCATGGAATATGACTTTTTGGATGAGCTGTCAGCTTTCCTCCTCTAGAGGTTTCTCCTGTTGCGATCGAATCTTGATCAATTTTGATGGAATCCAAAGCTTTTCTTCTCCTATGGAAACAAAGGCGAAACCCCTTCCGCAAAGTAACACATATCCTGGTTTCCAAACCTAGGTCATTACATCCTGGAAATACACCAGCTGATTGAATCTCCTTTCCCCCAGCTCTTTATCTCCCATCCCTACTATGTACCTGTGATTGTGCCCAAATGGGTGTGGTCAGTGGTACAGGTGCCTAAAATCTCTCCCTACAATAAATGTGTGCTCCCACTTAGCAATTTAACACAAAAGATCCATCTACTTGTGCCTCTTCCAGCCCA